GGGTTTCACCCTGGCTGCGATGACAGCCGTTAATCGCTGTAGTTTGTCGCTGCCCGTGTGTCGAGCCCTTAACGTTTAAATTCTCCTGGAATCATTTGAATTTTTAAATTTAGATTTTTAGTTTTGATGCCCAGCCTGCCGACTTCAAGAACAAAACAAAAAAAAACAAAAAAAAAAAAACAATGAACAAAAACCTGAATGTGAGCCGCCTGAAAACCAACAAAGAAGAGTATGTGAGCCACCCATCCACCACAAAGAATCTGCAGGTAGTGTGCGTGCAAAATGGACTGTGAGGCAGTGATCCAAAGTGTGGCTTAACTTTAATATCTTGCAAAGGAGGGCGTACAACCAACATGACTAAACACCGCTCAGGGTTCTGTCTTTGATGCTCTGCACAACACTTCTCTGACACTCGTGGGGAAAGTAAAACAATCAAATCTGTCTAATACCAACACTGAGGCAGCTAACAAGCTAAACTAGACCTTAAAAAGTGTAACATCAGCTCAGTGACCTGTACCTGCAGCGTCAGACACTGAATGTGTGTCAATTGTTTTCATGAGATTTTTTAAAAAAATTTTGTAAAAGTGTACAATGCAAAAAATGTCCATCTAACCAAGTCTTCATATCTTATACTGAAATAAAAAGTATTTCTGATCTTGTTTTGAGACTATATGCTAAACAAGAGCTGAATGTCTTAGATTATTCATCTTTAGCCTGGAAATTTTCACTATTTCAAAAAGTCTTACTAAGTGCAATTCCAGTGGCAGATTATTTAAATTTGCTTAGTATATCAGTCTCATAAGATTAAAAAATAATTTTTGGCTAGATACAGTATAAGATTGCAAGACTTGGTTATTTAAGTTTTGTTTTTTGTTTTTTTTTTGCAGCTAACTCGTTTATATCATGTGAACCTTTTTGACTGTGCTTCTAAAAATATTCGGAATGGAGAATCGATGGGAACCGGGATTGTTCAAATTCAAACGATCCCATACCCTACTGTGAAATAACTAGTTATTTTACAAAAAGCTAAAAGTTTGCATTATTTGCATCAGGGATGCATGTTATCGATTAATGAATTAATCTAAAGTTGATTGATTTTGTCGCTCGACTAACGATTAATTGATAAGTAGGGGGTACAAGATAGTTAAATAATGCTTGATAATGTTTCTTTTTTGTTACGGACATGGTCCAGCTTTCTGAAAGTCAACATGATTAATAAGAAACGTTCATGCCTCCTAAGAATGTTGGGGCCTTTTGCTCAACTGACAACACGATTATGTTTCTGCGGATCTGCCTGCATTCAGCCAGCCAGGTATGTTGTATTTTAAAAATCCCTAACACCTGCATATTGCCATTATCTGCAATTGATGGTTTGGCTACTAATTGCTGACAATGTCATAGAAAAGCTTATGTCACAATTTCTTGGACAGCATGAACACATTTTTAATAACACATGCAAGGAAAAAAAAGAGAACAAGAGTTGGCTAAAAGTCAATGTGCAGATTTGCAATCCAAACAAAATTCAAAGCAGCTCTCAAGATGAAAACCTAGGACTTTTCAAAGCTCATACCCCTGCTGTTGTACAGGTGTACAGGGCTCACCTTTTGGTGTCATAAAGCTGGTGTATCACTAGTCAAAAACAATCTGAGCTTTATTGGAATGTAAACAACGACAACACCCCAACTCTACATTCGAGAACAAAAACAATGCAATAGGAAATGAGCAGAGGTCCTCTAGTGATGAAGCAAAGCAGCCTGCAAATGCAAATGTCTGCAACAGATGTCTGGAAGATGAGTGAACATAGTGATGGCACGCGACTGTTAACGCTCACCGTCTGACAGTCATAGAGAAGTGAGTCAAGACTGAAGCTCTTTAGTGTTCACTGCTCAGCTGATGTTATGTTTTGAAATTCCTCAGCGGCGCTCTCACAACTCACGAATGAATACGGGAGGAGATAAGAAACCGTTAGAGGTGCTTTACCTCCACTCTTTCTTTTGACTTCATCACATGAACTCGTTCCATTCACTTTTTGTGTTCCCATAAACATGACACAAAACCAGAGGCCCCATTGTTTATGATGCAGAGCCCTTTCCTGGATGGGCTGGATCCGGTATGCACTGCCTGCCTGCCAGCCGCCTGCCAACTCTTTTTGTCAGTCACAGACTGGAACTGTGGTTCTGGGAGCCACCATACTAACTATAGACAGTCTAGTCTGACCTGACCGTTGCATCCACAAATAAATAACTGACTAGTTTGTAAACTGACAACGTAAACTACATTTAAATTCATTAAGAAAATTTTAAAATTCGCTGCGACAACATTATTGCTTTAATTCAGTATTTCTTTTGTTTGTTTGTTTTTTTGTAGAGAAAGCAGTGCTGGTACTTCCCAAATAAAAATAAATACCAATATGAAATAAAGTAAGAATTTCTGTCAAAATCCCTTAAGGACCACATTATTTACAAGTAGAGCTGTACAATATATCATTTGAGAGTCGTCATTGCAATGTATGTTTGAGAAGTAGTCACACTGAATGTCCTATAATGTAGGAGGCAAATTAAGCCCAACATGTTACGGCTCTTATTTTAAACAGGTTGCCAACACCTGCAGAAGTAGCAGAAGCAACCTCAAAAAAGCTAAAACTTCCAATTTCCCATGAAACTTCTGGAACAATAACGGCAACATTGTTCAGAGACGTGTGTCTGAATTCACGAGCTGTGGAGGAAGATGATAAGAATTTGGACAAAAACGAGGAAGATGAGCAAATTCACAAACAACTGGAGGAAAAGAGGTAAAAGACAGACATTAAAGCGTGACGGAAGCAGAAACTAAAATATAGATACAGAGGTAACATGTTAGGTGGTAAAACACAATTCACCTTTACAGATGATAGAAAGGAAACATGAACTCATGTCCCAGCACAATAAAAACAAGTAATAAAAAAAGAACAAGAAAAACTCTCAAATACAGACAAAAATATGCGTGTAACAACAACAAGAAGTTCAGATCGGTGCAGGCTCATCGCCAACAAGATGTTATTCAAGTTATCTGTTGAAAATTCCTGTTTTTTTATTTTATTTATTGCAATATAATACCTCAGGGTTAGAAAAAAATCACTTTTTTTCAAATATCATACAGCCCTATTTACTAGTGACTAACTACAATTGTTTTTATTCATGCAAGCAAGGTGTACTTTTGTGTTTATTATCGATGACCACATTACTGTAACTGCACTGGTTAGAAATAGTTTGGGTAATATGCTTCTGTTCTTATGTGTTTATTAATCGTGCAAATCATCTGAAAAATACACACATTGTTTTAACAGAAATACAAAACTTTAGATCAGGACTAGGGTTGGGGGATATTGGCAAAAAAATAATAATAATTACGATTAATTGTGGTTTTTAGCCGATAATTAATTTGACGATTAATCCCCTGGAGTCCCCTTATGTCCTGGTCACATGACCAATTTAGTGGGAAAGATTTGCTTTTCATAAAAATCTGTTCCAAATTGTGTCAAAATTACAGATTTCAGGCTATACATCAAATTTTAAATTGTGTAAACAAATTGTGTACTTAAATAAATGACACAGAACCTGTTTTTAATGTTGGTCATATTTGAAGCGGAGAGGAGCACCCAGTGGACTGACTGGGAAAATATCAAGTCAGTCTGCCTGATGGCATTAATCATATTAATCGTCAAGTGCCAACAAATAATCGATTAATGTTTTTCTGATGATTAATTGCACACGATACGATTATGCCCAACCCTAATCAGGACAAACACAGTATCCATGTTGACATATCAGTGTTTTATTTAATAATTACAAACACTGAAGGTGATTTTTCCACTTGCAGCATGCCGTTTGCATAAAGCTTGATTACCAGCAATAACACACAAGCACACAATCTTGATACGTTCGACAAAAATAAAGAGTGAAACATGGTCGTTGGGTTTACTCATATGCATTAAAATGTGGCCTGGCCATCAAGCTAGAAAAAAAGTCAACTTTTAAATGTCACGAGCAGCCTTTCAAGTATTGTATAAACAAGAGCTGCTAACACCTGCCAGGTTTGCTTCAATCTAATCTTTATTTACACCAAGGCCTGATGTTTTATTGCTTATTTACTTACAAAGAATAAATATATTTCAAAAGGTTAAAGCAGTAGCAATATACCCCACTTAAGCATGGCCTAGCTGCAGAATAAACACTAAACTGCTTAATCATTACAATCATGTACTGTTTAAGATGGTTTGTGCCTCGTAGTACAAATCCTCAGAATAACATGAAAACTKTTAATGTAAAGATCAGAAAAGTGGTTTACAAGAGCAGCAGAAAGTCACCTCCATATAGTTCACTCTAATGTCCCACCCCGAGTGGAAAAATAACTGCTCCACTTAAGGTTGCTATAAAGCTTGCTGCTGTAGCCTTTTCCAAAGCCCAAGGACAAAGTGTGGTTCGGAGACAAGCAACACTCTCTCCCTGGTTCTGTCTGACAGCTTTGGCTCGGGCCGAGGCCAGAGTCGCTCTGCAGCATGCAGACTGTGAA